GAATTTTTCCTAGGATCTGTAATTATATAGAAATAAGAGGTCATATTTATAGCGGTAGGATAGAAGAGTTTTGATAAACTCAAACTCTTTTTATATAATCTAATCAACAAATTAGATAATATCAATATTATCCATAAATATATTCAAATATACTAATATTGATAAATAATCAATCAATATTTATCAAAATTTAAGTGTCAACAAATGCCCCCTCGAGACTTGTTTGTACACCACGAGAGCATATACCACTCGAAAGTATGTAGTGCAAGGAAGTCTCGACACTACAGTTAATGATATAAGACCGTTTAAACTCGTGACAAGGAGTCTGAATATGAGGTCGTTTAAACTCGTGCTAAGGAGTATCATTTAGCTTCCTCCATTTCAAATTTCATACAGGGTTTGCCCCCATATCGGTTGAAAGTGCCTATGAAGAGATGAGAGGTAGAGCTGTCTCACTGGGCGTGCCAATTTGTGAACAAAGAAAATTGAATAAAATATATATTGATATTCAAAATTCCGATTACATGTCAATGTCAATGCAGTGTGGGTACAAGTCTCTTAATGGTCCTCTGATTCTTCAATTGGATGCCTTGAACACTCCACCACTGAAGGGCCTCCGGAATTGGCTTGATCTTCAATGGAGGTTTGGATCAACATGCATGATTCGATTGGAGGATGGGTTTTTACTTTCAGGATCACATTTTTATTGTGATCCTGAATAAACTTCAAAACTTAGGATATTTCTATGAATTTTTCCTAGGATTTGTGATTACATAGAAATAAGAGGTCATATTTATAACTGTAGGATATAAGAGTTTTGATAAACTCAAACTCTTTTTATATGATCTAATTAACAAATTAGATAATCAATATTATCCATAAATATATTCAAATATACTAATATTGATAAATAATCAATATTTATCAAAATTTAAGTATCAACAGATGAATAGTGATAAATAGAAATATGATAATAATACAAGAAATATGTACAATATTACGAGGATAAAGGCTTCTCTAAATGAAAAGAATTATTATTATTTTTTATCGATACTATATTGTAATAGAGTCAATAGTATTAAAAAAAAAATCTTCAATCCCTGTATTAGGAGGGACATGTATATCCCATTGACATTTAAAATAAAAAAAAACAGATTCATAATTTCACATTCTCCCTTCTAATATTGCATGATAGTACGTTCTTAAATGATTTAAAACATTATATTTTATTGGAATATTGAGTTCCCCATTCCATCACTTACCATTCCTGCCCATTGTGAAACGTCCATGAAGAAGGCCAGTGCTGCAATCAAAATCCCAGTTGCTAAGGTACCCCTTACTAAGAGCATGAATATCAATGGATATTCATGAATTTTTGGAACAGTAAAGTCTGATATGGAGGTGAGAGAAATGGAGAGAGAGAAGACTTTGGACCTTCTGAAATGAAGGTTATTGGAACAGTAAAGGGGTTGCGCGTTTATCAAGAAAGAAACAAGGTTGTGTGCGTTTCGTGCACAACAAAGTTAAAGCTCGGCGCATGCACGTGGCGTGTGTAAGGCATGCCGGACAGCCTTAAAATTTTTTAAACAGTTTCATTTTGTTTGTTTTTTTTTTGTTTCTATTTTTTTTCCTTTTTTCAGATATTCTCTTTCCTAATCACACTTACAAAAATTTTTAAAAATTACAAAAAAAAAACTCCACCATTGTGGATGCTCTAATATCAGAAAAGAAGGATGTATGGCAGTAATCCATCCATACCCATCGGCCATCGCCATCATTATTCGAAGCTACTTAGGTTGTCCTTACCCCTGCAAACATCTTCCACTCTCAAAAATGGGTCCCACTTCCACATCATCCCATTTGCAAATTATCTACTATTCACACTACATCCCTGCAAATCCAATCAACCTTCAAAAGTGGGCCCCAATTTCACATCACTTTAAAAAATTAATATTTTTTTCTTAATAAATATTATTTGGTCTTCAACATTATTTATTTATATCAATATATAACTTATATTTAAATATTAAATATAACAAATGTGAAAATAACTAATTACGTATGTATTAATGGAAAAACTAAATGTATGTATTAATGAATTAATTTATGTATAGTAATGAATGTATGCATTGTATTTCTAAATCAATGAAATGTTATGTTCTCTTTTAATATATTTTTTTATTAAAAAAATATTACACATTAAATATAAAAAAATTAATATGGCAAAATACAAAACAAAAAACAAATAAAATAAAAGAAAGGAAACAAAATTAAATAAACTAAATAAAAAACTAAAAAAAAAAACTAAAAAAAAAAGTACAAAAAGAGTTGCGGCAGCTTTTTGTACGGATTGCAAGTTTGCATGCAGAGCAAACTTGCAATCCAACTCATTATTTAAAAAAGAAAAAAAGGAAAAAAAACAAAAAGCATACATGGCATTGTCCAACTCATCTTGCCAATATGATATTGGCAGGGGTAAGGACAACCTTATCATTCAGACAAAAGAAAAATTATTCCAAATATTCAGGAACAGGAAATTCACAGTGGCAAAGATAATAATAATAATAATAATAATAATAATAATAATAATAATAATAATAATAATAAATAAAAAGAACTGGACAAGCACATTTAGACAAAAGAAATGTTGCTAAGAAAGGTTTCATATATTCCAATCGTCTGAACCTCACCCCGAAACTTAAATCGCAATCCTATTAAACCTCAAAGAAAAAACAAAAGGAGTGATGAGATGAGAAGAAGAGGATGAATAGAAGAACATCAATGAAAAGGAAGCAAATCACAAAAAATACAATTGAAACAATAATAAAGAAAATACATACTGGAGTAAAATTTACTATGTCAACTAGAAAGTAAAAATTCTGAATGACGATAGTCCATGAAACAAAAAGTAATTCATGTGCACTTGTACAACTTTGACCTCCGATATCAAAATGAACTCGCTGGAATATGCCAGCTACATAAGAATAAATTTGCATGAAAAATTAATTAAAATATTTGGTACGACACTACCCTAAAAACATATTATATAAGATGTTTTGTTTGTTTTTCTTAAAAAAAAATTAATAATTTAAACTCCACTTCTCTATAATAATTAACTCTTAAACTACACCTGAGAGGTAAACAGCATTATGAAAACCTAGTGCAGATTGTGTGAAGGAGGGCTTCATTCATTCAAGTTAGTGTTGAATATAAATATAACAGAGAGAGCACTGGTCATATAATATGTTATCATAGCAATCACGAGGATAGAAATACAAATACAATGAAGATAAATAGATGTTTTTGGATGACGAGGGAAACACTTGTCTTGTCACTATCCGAGAGTGTGTATTGTGTCTCAGTCAACAAATAATCATAAAGAGGTAAACCAGCTTAGGTTGTCCATAACTGACTGATCGGCTCAAACCAAGAATGCCAAGGTAGATAATAGATGTTTTATAACCCAACAAGGAAAGCTATTTAAGAAAATTAAGTTCACAAAGAAATGTTGCATAATAAGTATAGATCATAGCAGATTTCGAAGGTTCCAAGTACTAACGATGAGGACAATATTTGAAGTTTCAATACTTGCTGAAATATGAATATAAATAGCAGATTAAAGTATGACAGTGCACATGAAGATTCACAATTCCATATATATTGTACTAATTCAAAAGCCTAAATCACCCATTGAGATGCAAACTCATCTTCCTTGGCTTCATCTTCATCATAGCCAAGCTGTAATGAATCATTGATCAATTAATATGAAAAGTGTGACAAATACAATTCACAAGCTTCAAACTGAGAAGATGAAAGTAATGTATATATGTATAATTTTCTTTAGTGTTTATCCAATTTTAATACATGAAAGATAACTCCTAAACTAAATAGCTAGATTTATATTTCATACCTCAAATTTAACCAAACTAACAAGAATTTAACATTCCTAGTAATCTAACATTTTGTGAACCAAATGCCAGTGCAATGCTTCTCTTATATATATATGAATGAATAAATGAAGATATATAGGTATATATACCTCTTTTCTTCAGTTGGATTTTGGGTCTATGTGGACTGATTTTTACTGCTACGAGTCTTCTTTTTGCTCAATCTTCGCTTCCTCTTATCTTCAACAGATTCTTCAGGCTACCATAAATCATAGAAATTAAACTAAGTTAGGATATGAAACACTAACTGAAGTTTGGAGGAAAAAATTAAAAAAAAAAAGTAGAGAGAAAGACCAGTATTGTATTTTCCTCTATGACAACAATATCATTGTTTCCATAGTCGTGTTGTTCTTTCTCAATTTCCCTAGCTGAAGTCACCGTGGAAGGAAGACAATGCTTTAATTCAATTGACTTCAATGTTGAAATTTCTGCGAAGCTGGTAGGAAGCTCTTCCAAATTATAGCACCAATAAAGGATTAGGCGCTCAAGTTTTGAGAAATGATCAACATTGGCTTTCCAATGCTTGAGATCACATGTACCAATATCCAAAACAATTAACTCGCAGAATTTATCCGTCTCCGATAACTCCCACTCTTCGCCCAGGCAGGCAAAATTGAACAACTTGAGTACCTGGAGCCTAGGCAACTTGGTAAGAACATTGATTCCCTTCCACTCAAAATTCGTATACTTGAATGTCAACTTTGTAAGATTTTTCAACACAACTATATGCTCATTAATTGTAATCATATCCAGGCTCTCATTGTTAGCAAAAATACAGAGTGTCTCAAGTTGTTGTGAATAGGCAAGGTTCTCAATGCAATCATTGCAATCTCTTCTTTCACCACTAATTTGCACCTTCTTTAGGTTTGGAACATTTGTGAATAATTCCTTTGTGCATTTATAAGGTTGCAACCAACAAATGCTCTTCAAGTTTTGGTGAGAATAAACTATGGAGAAATCAAGAGGAGGAATGAAACAACTGAAATGTTGTAGTTGTGGAAAATTTAAGAAGTTCATTTCATCAACCCCTAAAATGGAAATTGATTGAAGATTCTAAGCACGGAATGGTTTTAAGAGGATGAAATATGAAAATTGTGAAAACAAGCATCTCAAATGGACAAGATTCACAATCTTGCACTCAATATTGTAGAGTACTCTTAATAGAGTGCAAGATTTGAAAAATGAAGATGGGATCATTTTTGAAGAATAGATGGATCGACAATTTTTTAAAGAAGAAAAGAATGTATGACCTTTAAAATTATTTGATTGGATGCTTACCCAACGGAAACCTTTTGGAAGGGAAGTGGATTCATTTTTATAGACAACATGAAGAAGGTTCTCCTTTTTAGCTTCCCTCACACAGAAAGAATGCAATAAATCATGCATTCTAAATGCCTTTATTTTTCTTCCACAAGAACTTGTCTGGCTTACAAGAATTAGGTTTCTGTCCTTGAGTTCTTGAATGTATCCTTCAGTAGCTGCATCAAGGCTCCTATTCTCAAATTCCTTTACAAGTCCTTCGGCACCCCATAATTTTACAAGATGTTTCACATATATCTCATTATCTTCTGGAAAAATGCTCAAATATAAAAAACAAGCCTTCAAGTTGTAAGGCAAGTGATTATAGCTCGATGAGAGCATCCTTGAGCATTCTTCATCAATAGTTGTTGTTGCAAATGAATTTAGAGTTTCAACTATATTCTTCCACTCATCTAGTTCATTGACTTTGGAAAATAGACCCGCAACCACAACAATTGCCAAGGGTAGACCTTTGCATTTCTCAACGACTGGTCTCCCAATTTTCTTAAATTTAACACCACGAGATTTGCATGCCTTTTCATGAAATAAATTCCAACTCTCACTTTGATCTAAGAAATGCATTTGATGAGAAAAGTCTTTTCTAGAGCCAATACGAGTAGCCACATCTGCAAAGCGAGTAGTCAACAATACTCGACTACGATTTCCATTATCTGGAAAGCAAATTTTGATAGCATCCCATGCCTTGTCACTCCATATGTCATCTATCACAATAAAGTACCTTTGATGCATCAAACATTGATATACTCTTTCCTCTATGCCCTTTGTAGTGTCACTATCTACATAGCCTATTGATTCAAGAAGATCTGTGAGCATATGTGTCTTGTTATGATGTTGCGATGCAACAACCCAAGCTCGCTTGTCAAAGTGGGAGGCAATCGATGGATCAACATATAACCGCTTAGCTAACGTTGTCTTGCCAATACCTCCCATACCTTTAATCGAGACAATTTCTCGTTGCCTTGACGGTTGTTCAATTAGCATCTTCTTCACCATTTGGAACTCATTGTTTTTCCCCACCATTATTATGCCCTCAGAGTTTTTTGAAGCATTTCCGGAGGAATCCCCCTCCATGATAACTTCATCATCACCATTGGTAAAAGCACCAAGTATTGTTGTTTTCCTTCCTTTCAAGGCTATGAAATGCTTGTATTCCATCTTGACTTTCCACAACTCTTCCTTGATGGTGCCAATGTCCTCTATTGCTTGTTCCAATATACAATGAAGTTTGCAAGAATGACAAGTTTTTCCTGCATCACTATCCCCGCGGCCTTGTGGTTCTTCTTCTTCTTCAATAATATCCCCCAAAGTTTTGTCTGCACCAATAATTCTGAATTCCTCTTCCTCTTCCTCTTTCTCTTCCTCATAAAGATTTGCAATTTGGAATTCAATTTCATCTTCTACTCGGAAAGCCACATCTCTAAGCTTTGTTTCCAAGTCTTTAATTGCTTGAATACCATCCATTTTGTTCTCATCGAACAGCTCTATCAGAAAACCAAGCTTTTGGTGGAGAGATTGGATCAACTCTTTGTTGCAAGGGATGAGTTCCTTTTGTAGTATGATTGGACGAGGCTTAGATTGTAAGAACTCAAGCTCTATGGTCCTCATAAGAGAACATACAGCTACGCAGGCCATTCAATCTTTTCTCTTTCTTTCTGTATGTAATGTGATTATGACTACTTGTTTTCTGCTGACTTAGTTTGTGTGTAATGACAATATGCATTGTATGGTGGCTTTAATTTGTTGTTAAACATATGAGACACAATTGTTTAATTTAATGTTATTTTCTTTTTACTTTGTGTGTATCGAATTGAAGGCGGCTGGATCCAGAATAGGAATATATATGCCAATGTTTCAGGAATTGACAGGAAAAAAAATGATTCTTGGGGTTGTATAGTAGTCTCTTTGGAAAAACCGAAAACATTATAAAATGAGATTTATAAATATTTAGTGCAAATAAACAAATAACGAGTAATCCTGGACTATTGTTGGAGACGTGGCTAATTAATTAAAGGATTACAATTTTTTTTTTTTTTTTTGTGTCTCCAATTATATATTATTACTAGTATTTTGATTTCTCTTTTTTGAAATTAAAGTTGCAAATGTTATATGATGGGATGGGCAGCACGCATACCCCTAGCCGGACCAGGCAACGGAGAAGGCGTGGGGTTAGCCGGTAGGTCAGGCAAGGAAGATGATGTACCATTCGGGATATATACTATAAACTGAAAATTATGGAATTTTTGACCACCTGAAAGTGATCTTAAATCAAGTCGAAAGCCTTGTTCCAACCGAAGGAATTGGGGTGGGGGTGTCAGCGGAGGTACGAAGGCAAGTGGTTGGCCGGAGCAGGATCGTGAGGCAGGATGCTTGAGGCAGTCGAACAAGAGGCCGCAGGGAAACCGTCAGAGACTTGCAGTCATCCAGACAAGTAGCCGAATGGGCGAACGAGTCACCTAGTCAGATGGCTGGATGGGCGTGAGAGTTAGCCAGTTAGACAGCTGGATGGGAGATGGGGTTAAACTACCCAGCGAACGAATGAATGTTATGGGCAGTCAATCGGGCATCAAACGCTTGGAGCTAGCAGTCGAAGGGGTGTCCGAGAGGAAGGGAGCAAGCACTCAGCCAGATTGCCGAGTAGGTATGTATTAGTGGAGCTAGCAGTCAAAGGGATGGTCGAGTGGCAGGTATGTAGCAGACACTCGACTGGAGGGTTGAGTAGAAAGGGATTCACCCGAAGGAGGCGCCGCGCCGAGCACCTAGAGGAGTAGTGCTCGGGAGTACAAGTGAGCCACTCAGTCTACCGAGGGGAAGATTTGCCGACTCCAAAGAGGACTCGGACATGCGGAGAAGATACAACAGAATCCAGAAGAGATTTGAGGAGCGGGTCTCACAGAGGGTGGAGAGGTACACAGAGGCTATAAGGAAAGAAAATCAATTATGTTTAGGAAAGGGAATAAATGGTATATGAAAGGAAGATCCGATGTATTTATGGCAAGATAGAGTTGCCTAGTTTAGGCCCCTTAGTTCCTGTATAAATAGGCCTTGAATACCTTGAAAAAGATTTTTAAGTTTTACACACGCACATAAAGCAATTCAATAAAGAGAATTGTTTTTTCCCCGCAACTCTTGTCTTAGTTTTTTGGTTGTGTTGACCTATTGTTTGACTATTCCGGTGGCCAATATATTAGCAGATCTCACAGGAGTAGTGCTCATTCAAACTTTGGGCCCTTATGTGAAGTTTAATTATAAATTAATTTAATATTCTCTAATATATACGGAGTATCTATTAATTGAATTATTATATTAAATGATTGTAATGGTTAAGTGAATTTAATGTTAAATATAATTTTGAAGTTATAGGTTCAAATCTCTGCTCATGTAAGAAATTTTTTTTCTCTTAACTTTATCATAAAATAAAAATTCAAGTTAAGGAGCCCCTTTCAACATTGGACCTTGGACAGGTGCCCATATTGCCCGGCCCTCTAGGCCGGCCTTGGGTCCAAAGGATAATCGAAACCCGTGGGCATGAATTTTGCAGCCTAGATAGGAATAGATGAAAATTAGGGGTGCTAATTAATTGGGTTGAGGAGTACAATTAAGGGGTTAAGGAGTAAATGCTAGAGGGATGGAGTTTGAAGTGGGACAAGACATTAAGTTAAGGGGTTATGATGTAATATTGAGAGGATGTGGTATGAAGTGAGACATATACTGCAGCCGAAGTGGTTGGAATGGAAATATTTTGGGTCAACGAAGTACTAGATGGTAGGGGTGAACCTGAATAGGTATGAGTTTGGATATTTTTAATTATGGTATATCTAAATATAAATTCAATTTGAATATCAGTGTTAAAATTTTATATATACCCAATTTGAATCCTAAACTATCCTGAAATATTATTATAAATATAAAAATATAAAAATATAAATTATATATTGACTATTAAATGTATTGAGTAATTAATGTTATATTAATTTTAAAACTCTCTTAGTTAATTATTAGTATTGTATCTTATTTTTAGTTTGATAGTCACTGTTGTAAAAATTGGTCTAGGCGCCTCTAGACCGTGGCGATTTTCCTCCTAGGCGTCCGCTTAGCGCCTAACTCGGCCGAATTGGCCACCTAGCGTCTAACTTAGCCGAGTTAACTCGTCCATTTCGATCGAGTTAACCCGATCAGCTCGGTCTGGCTAATTATATATATATATATATATATATATATATATATATATATATATATATATATATATATATATATATATATATATGTATATATATATATATATATATATGTATATATATATATATATACATACATACATACATACATATATATAATATGACATATATACACCCGTAAACTAGTTTGATACTTTGAATCTTTGGATGATTGAAATATTTGAGTATTTTTAATTTTTAATATTGTTTTGATGTTATAACTTATGAATTATCATTTTATTTCATTTATTTGGATGTGTTATTTGATTGAATGTTGAAAACAGACTCATTAAAATTGTCAAATTGCAAGTCTGCCACTATGTTTTTGGCGCCCGCCTAGCGCCGTCTAGATTCCGCCTAGGCGCCGCCTAGGTCGCTTAGGCGCTAGGCGCTGCCCGGGCGCCCGACTAGCGCCTATTGCAACTTTGTTGATAGTATATGAAAAACTATAAATACACCAATAATAAAATTATTTTAAAACTTAAAATTGATAATTAAAAAAAAAAAATTCGGTATATCCAAACTAACCTGAAATAAATCCAAAATAAATTCAGCCGAACCGAACATATCCGTGTGTGGCCAAGCTTAGTTGAGAATGACAACAGTGTGGCCTTACATGGCCAAAGAAGACAACAATGGGAGAAAGAGCTTGCTCAAAGGTAATAGGGGTGTAGGGGGTCGGGGTTGTGTTGGAGTCACGTCGGGACCCGCTCTGTGCCTCCTGACATAATGTTAGATACGTTGTAGTTTGACATGATAGTTTGTGGCCAAGAGTAGCGGTGTTGTGGTCGTGCATGAGCGAAAAAGGCGATAACGAGGTAAAGGAACTTGGCTAAAGTTAATTGGGGGGAGGGGGGGGAAGGGGAGTGGGAGTTGGAGCCACGTTGGGATATGCCATGTGCCCTACATCATACCTATTGAATATAGGTTGGCTATGTGCTACCGAGCTTGGCTGAGAGTGGCGGCGATGTAGCTGTACCATGCTAGAAAAGACATCAACAAGGCTAGGGTGCTAAACCCTAGTCCGAGCTGTCGTGTGCCTTGTGGTCTTGCAATTAGCCACAACAGAATTGTCACTAAATATCTTATTTCTTGTATGTATTGAGTATACCAAATAATAAATCATCAATACATAAAAAATGAATCTTTGATATATTAAAAATAAAACTTATGTGAGGAGTTCACCTTACCATATGAATTATGGTCCATGGATAGTGATTGTTGTACATTCTCTTGAGCTCATCAGTCAGAAATACTAGCTTTCTCTTTCTTTCTCCTTCCTCACTCCACTAGTGGCTTCAAAAAATTAATGGCCAAATGGTCATTATATTTTGTACATATATTATAATAGAGAAAATTACACTTTTGGTCCTAGGACTATAGGGGGAGTGATAATTTCAGTTCGTGAATTTTAAAACTAACAATTTTTTTTTTTTTTGAATGCTACTAGCTCTATTACATTGTAGTATCTGTTCATATACTTTCTCAATCTACTGAAATACAAAGAGCTAATAACGCCTCCACTAAGGCTTGAACTTACAACCTTCCAAATGGAAGTCCAACCCGGGTACCATTAGACCACATAGTCTTGGTCTAACAATTTAGTCCTTTAACTATGCTTTTTTTCACACATTTGGTCCTCCCGACCAAATCACCGGTGAATTTTGGCCGGAAAAACACAATCCCTTGTTTATTAAATATTTGGGGGGGGGGGGGGGGGGGAGGGGGGGGGGGGTGGCAATATAGTCATTTCATATTCTTCATTCTCCTTCCTACTTCTTCGTCTTCTTCTTCCTTCTTGTACATAGTTTTAGTACATAATAAATAATAATAATAATAATCAAAATAAAAATAATAATAAGTAATAATAGTAATTAAAGGGAAAAATGCTAAAGATATAATAATAATAATAATAATAATAATAATAATAATAATAATAATAATAATAATTTTGAATGTAAAAAGCACAAAATGGGAAGTAAAAACTGTAATAATAATAATAATAATAATAATAATAATAATAATAATAATAATAGTAATTAAAGCAAAAATGGTAAATAATAATAATAATAATAATAATAATAATAATAATAATAATAAGGAGAAGAAGGAGAAGAAGGAGGGGAAATTGCACTTTTTCTCTCTCAATTATATGTTTATAGTACATTTTCTCCCTGAATTATTCATGTAAGCATATTAACCCCCTCAACTATTCTAAAAGTGGCGCTTTTTCCTCCTTGATATATTAAATTGACATCTCTACCCTTAGAGTAAACATTTTATTTATTTTTTATTTTTTTATTTATATATTAAAGTGGACCAACAAATTATTGCTTATAGTAGGGATGACCACAGTTCGAATTGAAAGTTTCCGGTTATGATTCAGATCCAGAACCCAATATTTGGATTTCATTTTAT